CAATCAAATAGAAATGCTCCGTAGTGAATCTGCAGTTGAATGTCATCAGACCAAAATAAAACGTAAAACAAATTTAATTCTACGTTATTTAATTTTATTTGCTGTATTTAAGATGTAAAGTGAAAAAAATAAATAATATTCTTCGGAAAGAAAAGATATATCCAACGTTTTTTTGTATTTTTTGCTTATCAAAGAACATTTAGTCCTGAATATATACACGTGCACAATACATGTGCTTGCCGTGTGCCAAATTTGACAGCTACACTGTATGCCCGATACCACTATAAGAGCAATGGCTACACGAAAATAAGTTTTTACAGCAGAATGTTGCTTGTATTGTGGCACTGACCTTCGACTGCAAGATATTTTCAATTCAAACTTCTAACTCCGCGTCAGGCACTTTAATTGCTTCTTGTCTCGCCTGCACGAGACTTCAGCGCAAGGCGGGAAAGGCAGCTCCAGGCGGTTAAACCTGTGACGTACGAGACTTATGACTTCCAAATATGGATCCAGGCGGACACAGCTGTGACGTGTGACTGCCAAATATGGAAGCGCCCCAGGCAGAATTTTGAAGAAGAACGCCCCCGAGTTGCCGCTGTTCGCTAGAGCCTGGTATTGCTACTATGGGTTATATATGAAATCAAGATCAAGCTGGCAATACCGGAATGTAGAACCTAGGGCAGAAACAAGCAGAAATAAAAAAACGCAGGTTATGAAGTGTTGGAATCAATCATAAAACCTTTACATGACGGGGGTTGCATCCAAATCGTTAAATAAGGTCCTTTTTCATTTTGGCTCATAGGCTTTATTATAATATATTCCCAGTGGGCTTTTTACCCTTGACTTTCAGATGCCTTTGATGCCGATTCTGCTAATGATGTTGGTATTCTGGTGGTGACAGTGCTGCTTACATCACAGCTGATTTATAACACCAAGAACGTACCACAGAAAAAGGATCTACAAGAACTCAAGTAAGCCGTCTTAAAAAGAAATAATCCGAGGTTTTAGTTTTGTATTGAGAGTGGAATTTTAAGTATTATTTCATGAAAACTATAAAACTTAGATATTTCAAATTTGGCAGAAGTATTTATAAGTACAAGCCTAGACTTGTGCCGTACTAGTAAAACTGAAAAAAAAAAAAAAAATGGACAGGCATTTTTATCGACCAACTGTAACTTCAAAACTCTGTTAGTGAATTTTAATGACAACAATTAATTGAAAATATTATTTTTCATTATATTTCATTATTCAACTAGTATACAGTGGTAATAACAATTATGTTTCCGTGGTACACCGGTTTAACAACGTTTAAAATGTTTTAATCCCTGTCCTGTGAATAGAAGGGAGCGGACAAACAATGAAGAGCCGTATTAATCCCTTCAAAATTCAAACGCACAAACACAATAGCTTAGGTGGAATAACACAATACTTTAGACGAGTGAACCCCATGACGCTGGTTTCAGTGGTCCAGCGCGAGGGCGACAATCAACTGTCCCTAGGTGTAATTAACAGTGGTATCAGTTATTTAATTCAATATGAAGTGTTCCGTAGTCAAAAGCTGAATTTGATTAACATGCATAAGCATCATCATTGTGCATCAGCATGATCAACAATTCACGCTGTCTCAAAAGTCTTATTGCAGATAGTATTTATAAATTATGAATGATAATGGCCAAAATTTTTGAAGATTAAAGATGCCCCGTATATAAATTTCCATCCTCGCGACCTGTGTAAAAATAAAGATTAAAAGTAACAAAGAAAGAACAATATTTAAAAAAATATATATTTACAGAACAAGCTGAAGTGTAGCCTCAATTACTAAAAAGATTTAGGCTTCATTCACATAGAAAATAGAATTTAGAAAATAAACATTCCATGTGAAGGAAGCCTTATTTGATATGGACAATTGGCTTGAACCAGTTTTATTTTATTAACATTGTGAATGACACATTCTCCATCGTCACCGTTGAATTAACATTATTATTTTACGGCAATAATCTTATTTAACAATCTTATTGTTTAGGCCTGGTTTAAGTTTGTTTAAGAAATGATAGCCATCGTGTTTAACAGTAGATTGTCATCTTTTGTAAGATCCCCCTCCTCTTTTAACCGCTGTCATTCATCGTTAATTGCCCGTACTTTATATAGTGTGATCACACTGTCAGTCTTCCCCCTGTTGCACGCTGGAGTTAAATTGTCCTTGTGCCACTGCTCGATATTTTTCATATTCTTTTTTTTATATAAACCTTTTCACTTATTTTTAAATATTTTAATCTCATTTTCCATTGTGCGCTCTGAGAAACGGATGAATATTTCAACGGATGAAGGTTCAGTGCTTAGCTCTTATAACGTTATAATTAAAACGTTATATTGAGGTGCATCTAAACATTAAGATTTAAATATTATACTTGACTGTAATTGCCCTGTGTCGCACATATGCTTTTTAACAACAGCGATCTAAAACAGGTCGCTAGTGTATTTAAATATAGCAAAATCTGTTCGACAAAACGTTTCTCCACAGCAGCCGGCCACACAGTAATTGTACAGGCTTGGTTTTAGCTTGTTTGAAATGATAACAATCACGTTGAACAATAGATTGCGAGCTATAGTAAGACCCCCTCCTCTTTAACCGTTATCATACATTGTTAAAGCAATAATAACTCTTCCTTTGAGATTCAAAATTCCGCTAGAAATACATTGTAAACAACGCATAGAAATATATTCTATTGTATTTTACCACTAAAACGGCCGTTCTTGTAGTAAAACTAAAATCTGTGCTTGTCAATAGGGCTTTCGATGCCTTTCTTCCCGGTCGTTAAGGCATCCGTTGCTAATGACGTAAGTGTGTCACGCGGATTCTCGCGTTCATTCGAGACCAAAATAACATGGCGCGAAACGTGTTGATGCACCCGCAGACGTAAGTTGCGAGTTTTTGTACAGTGCGTCGGATAACGAAAAGCCCAGAACGGCACACATTGTGGATATAAATGCATTTTTAACAACAAGACGAATATATATCATGAATCTTATATTATTTTTATATAGTGTTGTTGTTGTCTGCTTTTCCCGCGGTTGTAAGTAGGTCACCAGTGACTATGCAATGTCAGAGAGGGCTCCGTCAGTTAAAATCTCTTAAGATATTTTAACAAAAAACCGTACGTTTAGGAAAAAAAACTGGATTAACTTTGAAAGCAGGAATGGGGTCGTTATTGGTAAGTACGGGAAAATTGCCGTTTTTCCAGGAAAATCCAATTTTTGGCCAAAACGAAGAGTCATTATGACTTTAAAGGATTTGCGTCATGCCGTCAGAATGGCCTGAACGGAACATATTCTTCAGAAAACATGCCCAACTAACGATATCTTTATCCAAATACACAAATTAAAAGCTCATTTTGTAAATTTTTGGCTTTAAAAAACGTCCTATTTGCTCGGCCTGGGAGTTAATGAGCTACGTGGTCACATGGTCCGATGACGACAATCGTGCCACCGGAGAACAGAGCGTGCTTAGCTGTCAAACTGAGCTGCATTGTCTACCTGTAAGATGACTTCTCTGGCTTCTGATAAAAGTTTATACTCATTCAAATCTTTTACCCGAGGGGTCTAAATCCTCGTGAAGCTGTGTAAAACCATTCCCCGTCTAGTCAATTCTTTAACAAGCATTTAATACTGGTTATCCCAAGTTGTATAAATCCCCCGTTACCTTTACAAGTCCTATCTCAATCATACATCTAACTGGAACTTCCTTTACCTCTTAATTAGAGGGTTAAATGGCATTTAATTTGTCTTGCTTGTATCGAACGCACTCTCTAAGCTTTACTCCAGTTATCTCAGGTAAAAATCTACCTGTGCGTTAGTTTCAAAGAGCAGCTCCCGTAGACCTGGGGGTACTAGATAAAATCTGAACACCAGGTTTATCGAGGAGCTAGAGAAAGAAAGGAAGAATTTTTCCTGCACAGCTTCATAGGAATTTTAACACGCTTAGACCTCCAAACTAACAGGGTGACATGGGCAATTTTCACAAACAAATCATAAAACTATATTTTGGTTAGCTGTCTTTAAAATAAATATACCGTTCTGGGAACATTATAATATTTATTAAATATGATGATTTTATTATTAATGGAAATTAAGCTACTATATGAGGTACATTTGCTGTGATTACGCTGTCCTTCATGTTTTGCGTAAGTCTACATTTTGCTGTACGTGCTTGTAATTTTTTTAAATCTGTGCGTACAATTTTTGCAGGTCTGATTACGCCCCTGTTATGTGATGAGAGTCTAAATTTGGCAATTAGTTCCTTAGCTTATTTAAATAGTATTGCAGTGTAAAATTTTCAACAAGATGTTGGCGAAATAGCCCTTTACTCTTTGTAGATATTTCCCCCGTCAAAGTTTGNTTTTTGCAGGTCTGGTTACCCCCCCTGTTATGTGATGAGAGTATTAATTTGGCAATTAGTTCCTTAGCTTATTTGAATAGAATTGCAGTGTAAAATTTTCAACAAGATGTTGGTGAAGTAGCCCATTACTCTTTGTAGGTATTTCCCCCGTCAAAGTTTGTCTAAAATTATCTTTCAATCTTTACTCTTTCAAAGGCAGTATAAAGTTACCTGACATATTTTCGTGTAAACTTAATGACAAGCCAAGTGTCTCCAGTTCATTCCGTACTCAATTTTACCCAAGCAAATTTTTTTCTTGAGTAGATCTTTATAGCACGGTGTTATAAGCTTACAAATTTGCAAAAAAAAAATTGCGTACTGACGAGTTCGGGGTTGAGGCGTTAATTGAGTTGCTATTACAGGTCCAATGATATATAATACCAAACAGAATTATACAGCAGACAAATACACAAGAATTTCAGAGCGAAAAAGAATACACAATGACCGCCATACTAACTGAAACCGCCACTCGTCTTTTATTTCTATAAATTTACAAGAACTACCATGAAAATTAAAAACAATAATTAATGATAATTGCATGCTACTTTTGTACATCAATATTTACCTTTTCTGTAGATCCCTTCACTTTCTTTGCTCCATGCCGATTTGATTTCCCTCTTTTCTTTTTTCATGTAACCAAAAGAACACAGCTTGGCTACGTCATCGTAGAACTTATCTGACCGTTTGTAGCCCAGGAATTCTGCCACGCGGCGCACTTGTTTCTTAAAATCCTTAACACATTTGTTAAACATGAGTAAGCGACTAGTGACATTGATACAGTATGAAAGATACATAATAATAACCGTCACCATAAAAATTCTGTAACAGAAAATTGGTTGCTACCTGGTCTTAATTCTTCATTGATTGTTTTATATTTTTAAATATAATTTTGATTCATTTGCCAACTTCCCTATTAACATATTAGGCGTTCAAACATGTATATCAGAATAATAAAAAAGATTACAATGGCATATTTAGAGACGCATGGCCCCTTCACATTTCTGAAATTCTAAAATAAGGTTATGTTGAGTGAGAGAGGCACTCATTGTGCACATAACATAATACCTATCAGATTTGGTATCATGTGCTTACCATTTTCATGTCCTCGTACGTCACAATGAGGGCGTTTGAATTGTTCTCCAGAACTTTCAACCATTCTTCCACGTGGTCGAACCAGTTTCCGTAATAAGCTGTAATAATAATATATAGGCGACTTTAAGTCTGTCTAAATCGTAAATAAGCTCAATTGTTGATTGGGCTCTGATAAAGCTTACGTCTCCGGAGATGTCTTGTTATTTGTTATTGAAAACATTACCGTCCTTTACATATGGAACTAGAATGATTAGTAATAAATCAATCAATCAATAAAAAAACTCAAGCTTCATTGTCTGGATTCTTTTATAATGCGTGAGCGATTGTTTGCCAAATTTTTATAGCTCGACAATATAAACTTCAAGTGTGTATATTTCCCATTAATTGGGTATGTTTTCTAAAGGATTTGCTCCGTTCAAGCCATTTTGATATGTAAAATCCTTTCAGGATATTGAAGAATCTTTACAGAAATGTTTGGTCTAGATAGTGATTTGGATCATGGGAAACCAAAGGAAAGCTCATTTATAGTGACATAACCTGGAATTGTTACTAAAATCAACCAATATTGTATGAGTTCGCTCTGTTGACAGACATACAAACAGATAAACGTGGCCATAAAGGTGGGTGATCAAATTCTGAGATATTGTCTTTGATGTTTAATTTGAGATCACTTTGAATTCCTTACCTTTCCCATTAATCATTAACTCTAACGTGCCTTCCCACGATACGTTGTCAAGCCTGTACATCGACATGCCTTTCTGATGGTGATAGAAAGACACGCACGCGTCCTTGGGATTACGAACAGTGTAGATTATTTTGGATTTTAAAGCCCCCTTTGGGAAAAGTTTTAAGGGCACATGCGTATCGAGGACACGCGGTGACGTCATCTTATCTGCCGCCTGGAGCGTGCATGCTTCCGGGAACATGGCGCCTACTTTTACCGAGTCTCTCAATTTTGCTCGCCCTGAGGACAACATCATGACTATTTCCCACATCCAGTGTGTACCTGGAAGAAAACGTCGAGGGTTTGATTGTAAAAATCAGACCATAACTATATTTAAGTGTAAAGGCGACATTTGGTGGCTCCTCAACGAGGCAGGAACCACACAAAGAAGTCATATATATATATATATATATATATATATATATATATATATATATATATATATATATATATATATACGCAAGGCTGCTTTTAAAAAGAGGATGAAGATGAAAAAAAAATCATCATTTTCTATATATGCATGTGCATACAATATAAAGAACCTTTCTTTCTTACCCAAAGTTTTTATTTATGCAGATCGAAAATAAACGTTCTTCAATATGAGAAGTGGAACCAGTGGTACCAAAAGTTACAACTGTTACAAAAGTTCCATTTGTTTTAAACCATAACTTAATAAGGAACTGGAATTTCTACAGACGTCTTTTCAGTTCACTGCGCTGTTAGTTTGAAATGTTGATGATATTCAATAATTTTTAATTAGTTCTGTTCATTGAATCAATAAAATTGACAGTACATATTGTCCCGCAGAATATTCCACTAAGCTGTACCTGATTTTGGCCAATTAACGATCCAAATATCGTCACTGCGGGCCTGAAACTTGTCAATTCGTTGTAAATTGATTTGTAGACCCGGGAAAGGCGGCAGCGGGACGCCATCGACAAACAAAGTGGGTACAAACCCTCCGTGGCCGTCGTGAACTTTTTCAACATTTGCACCACCTCCCTGAAGACGTTGTTTCATGAACCCAAATATCATCGGCCGTAGCTCTGGTAACATATACAGGTCGATAATAGTAAGGTACAGGCGTCTGCAGATCGCGCTTAAAAGCTCTAACACCATCTCGGACGACTTGAACTTCAGCTGAAATAAATCATTCCAAAGACTCTCACCGCAGTTTCTCTCACAGGTTTTGTCACAGACTTACTAGTACAGGACGGAAAGAATGAGCAACTTGTATTTGTTGGTACACCGTATCACGGACACTTCTCACCGGCACCTCACAAAATCCAGCAAAACGCACGCTGTCTGAGATGTGATCAAACAACGATCTTATCATGCACTGATTCATAGATTTGTAACATATGTATGTATGATGTATGATTGTGGTTGTAGAGAAGTGTGTTCGTGACTTATCGTTTGTGTCCGTGTGTCTTCGTTTCTATATAAAACACGCCCCTCTTTGTTTCGCGGCACATTCGTTTCTTGTTTCTGCCATGTTCACACACAGGTATGATAGACTTGATTGGTTTACTTTTCATTTTCTTTGTGTTTAGATTTTGTATTTCTCTAAGTTTAGTTTGATCATTTCAGTGCTTATCATTTATTTTCATCCTTATTTAGTTTAGAAATTTAGTAAGTATCTTTAGTTCATTAATGTTATTCATTTAAATTTTTCTAAGTTTGTTCAGTTCTGCATTAAGTTCATTTTATTTATTTGTACATTATTAAAAGACATTCGTTTCTTGTTTCTGCCATGTTCACACACAGAGTACACTCGGGTTCGTAAATAAAGTATATTGAGAGCTGTTACACTTTTGGCGCCCGAACAGGGACTGGAGATCGTGTTCTTTTGCGTAATGTTGCTTTTAGTGGGAAGCACAAACTCGCTGACCGTTGGCAGAATGAGGTGTATATTGTTTCATCACAACCGAATAAAGACATTCCTGTTTTTACAATAAAGAGAGAAGACGGTGTTGGGAAAACCAAAACGGTTCATCGTAATATGCTCTTGCCAATTTACGCACTGCCATTAGAAGAAGGAGAGTTACGTGAGGAACAGAGAAAAAAAAATCAACTCATCAGATCGTCCAAAGAGAAGTAGAAGAAAACCAGTTTGGTATAATGATAGCAACTGGGTGTTTTAAATAGCATATAGAGTATTTATTTTATTTTTTTGTAAATATTGTACAGAAAAAACTAATAAAATGGAAAAAAAATTGTTGTTCCCTTGTCGTTTTGTAAATGGTGTGGAAACCATTTGTTGTTGGCGGGGGAGGATGTAACATATGTATGTATGATGTATGATTGTGGTTGTAGAGAAGTGTGTTCGTGACTTATCGTTTGTGTCCGTGTGTCTTCGTTTCTATATAAAACACGCCCCTCTTTGTTTCGCGGCACATTCGTTTCTTGTTTCTGCCATGTTCACACACAGGTATGATAGACTTGATTGGTTTACTTTTCATTTTCTTTGTGTTTAGATTTTGTATTTCTCTAAGTTTAGTTTGATCATTTCAGTGCTTATCATTTATTTTCATCCTTATTTAGTTTAGAAATTTAGTAAGTATCTTTAGTTCATTAATGTTATTCATTAAAATTTTTCTAAGTTTGTTCAGTTCTGCATTAAGTTCATTTTATCTATTTGTACATTACTAAAAGACATTCGTTTCTTGTTTCTGCCATGTTCACACACAGAGTACACTCGGGTTCGTAAATAAAGTATATTGAGAGCTGTTACAGATTTAAAAAAATAATCCAAAAAAGGTTCACCTTAATATAAACATTTAGTTTTACAGCTGGGTTTATCCATCCTTGTGTTAGCTGACCTTACGAGGAATTTAGCTTTTACTGAGCGTGAGTATATTTGTGTGGGACAGTTTTTTCCTGTGATTTCACTAAAATGAGACAGTCCGAAAAGGACAGTGCACTTCTGTGCAGCATACCGATTTACAAGCAGTTCTGCAGCCAATGTGTCTTTACATGTATTCCTAATACCGGGAAAAATGTATTTACATTGAAAAACTTCGTGGAGGCCTTTGACTTTGAGGTTTAATGTTCTGTGCTACCATTTGAAGTATTAATGCTGAGAAATATGGGGAAAGTAAATGAAAGAGCAAAGAAACAGTAATTACCTGACGCCGTAGCAATTATGCATCAGTATAAGTTTTAACGAATAAGGGATATGACAAGTAGTAACATTATACTTTACAGGTACGGACTGTGACTACCATTTGAGCGAGCCTGTCACTATAGTTCCCTCCCCTAACATTTATTTATAATTTATCCAAGATAGTGTTGATGAAGATAATGTCTTTCAGATTTAAACATTTGGTCAGGTAATTAATTATCTGAAAAGATCCTATTTTTTAAATATTTTCAAATGTTGTAAGAGGGAGAAATATAGGTGTCCATTTCTCAAGTTCAAACAAGAGAAAACGTACAAGTTACGGCTGATTTTCAATAGATAGGGTCTGGAGACAATCAAATGGAATGTAGCCTACAGACTTGTTGGACGTTAATGTAATAAGTTCTTGATAGCATAGCTCAATTTGAAATTAGCCGCTAGATATAGTTCCAACAGCGTAAGAAGTGTTTTTGGTTATTTATGAAAAAAAGTTAACAAAACATTATATGACATTTTTTTCTAGAATGTTATAAAAACGCTAGTAAAACTCCATAAGTTTACATTATCATAAAGTTTTGTAAAAACGGTTTTCGAATCATTCTACAGTCATATAACGTTCCTTATTTTTTATTTATTTTGATGAATGAATGAATGAATTTATTAATTGATTTTTTTTTTTTTGTTAGCTGGGACATTATTTTGCATGGGGTTTAAAAAGAAGGGGGGTGTTTAGCCAAATTGTTCAGCCTTGTAATAAACTTGTTATAGGATCATATTGCTGTGAAACTAATCCAATAGTTAAACGTGCATTTTCTTCTGTGAGAAGAATGAAAAGCCAAACGTGTTGTTAGCATCTTCACACGTTTAGCAGGGGAAGTGTTGGGCCAATACGTTGAGCCTTGTCATAAATCAGTGAAACTAAATATATAGCTAAACGTACGTATATACTATTAAACTCGTTTAGCATTTTCTTGTGTGAGAAGCTTTAAAAGCTATATAAGTCTTTAGATTTTTCATACACTTCTAAACGCGTTTGGGTGCTAAAAGTGTGTTGCGTGTGGTCAAATGCTAAACACTGTTTTGCCGTGTATTCCTACGTCATAACACTTGATACTTAAAGGGCATCTGCTCTAATTTATGTTTTAGTATGTCACAAATCACAAAACATTACATTGAAGTTATTGCTATTAAAGCTGTAAGTTTTAACGCAGAATCTATATCCAATATTCAATTATTTTCTAAATTATTACTAAGGTCTTACCTTATTTAAATGTCTCTGCTTTCCATATTTTCCCTCTGATCACATACATCTGCGTATTTAAAATGCGCTGGCCCGTTAACCTTTTATATCGTCCGCCCTCACTCTTTCATCATTTCACATTTCATTGTATGTCATTAGCATACATAGTTTTTGGTCACCTAAGTATTGTCCCCGACCTCAACCTCTTCTGAGACACATCATTCCCTTAATGTATGAAAACATTTTAGTTTTTAACCCGGAGAATAACATAGGATTGTCGCCATTTTCTGGAGGAGGTAAAATCACACACAAAAAAAATAAAAAAATAAAAAATAAATAAAATAATAATAATAATAAATAAATAAATAAATAAATAAATAAATCAAAAAATTAAAAAAAAACTTAACTGTTATAATAACACACACGTTTTCCGGAAAATTGGGGGTTAAATCAATCCAAATATACACTAAAGTCTTCACAGTGTTAAATGAGCGGGGAGATCTCTCTCTCTCTCTCTCTCTCTCTCTCTCACAGAGAAAGAAATGAGATCCAGTGTTACAGATACTAGTATCTATGCGACCGAGGAGTTTGTAACTCCTTGGTGCGACAGAGGTCACGTCCTATCGGGTCAAAACCAAGGACGCACTTTCAATTAATCACCGACATAGACTGAGGTTGACCACGAGCTGACGTCAGCAGGGATTCACTCCGATAACGTACCTGGATTTAGGACAAGTAATTAAGTACAACGCACGTAACATTGCAAAATTTAAACTTAAGCAAAACCTTGGGAATTTGGGTCAGAATGGATAAATTGATCCCCATATAAGAACTGAGCAACAGCATCCATCACTCGTGCTGGGTACAGTACAATGTGCAGCTCGTATGGGGG